AGTCTACTTGTAACTCAGCACTGCTCTCTCTCATGTGCCTGTGTGGATGCATACAAATGTGTACACACGTATTTTTCTTTATCAAAAAGAGAAACAAACCCCGTGCCCCTCCCCACCCCCAGCCCTCACATCCCCTTCAAGCATACTCACGGCTCCATAGCGAATAGGCAAGGCGACAGTTTACTCGGCGATAAAACTGCTTGTTTATGGGCCAGAGGACTAGTGTGCATAGTTGAATGAAGTTAATGATCAGTCCACTCACAACAAAGACAAACCCGATGAGGAGGTGAACTATGAACTGGGTCTTCAGAAAGGCAATGAAGCCCATGATAACCGCTCAGAAGCGCGTGCAAGGGCCGTCACTCAGAATAATCGTCCTGAAAGAGAAAGAAAAGAATCCAATGGAGACTGGAATTACAGGCCCAAAGGGAAGCACAGAGTGGGAGCCCTGAAACAGTCCATGCCACTTCAGCAACAGGAACCCAACTCAAGAAACACTCTGCTCTCCAAGCCTGCCTCCTTCTGGTCTTCACACAATAAACTGTTGATGCTGCAAATCACTTCCAAAAATATGAAGGAATCATTATTTGCAATTTACAGCCCACCAAGAAGATTACTGTTGATGATGAATTTACTGCTGAAGATGAATCTCACACCCCTCTTCAAAGAATGGCCATATAATTGGACTTAATGCTGGGAGGAACAGAAACTCTCCACTCGCAGTGAAGTGGTTGAGCCCCGACTGGTAAACAAGCGGCACCGTGACTGCTGTACCTTCAGGAGTGGCTGTCCCTGAACTGCAACAGGGAGAGCCTCAGCCCCCACACCAAAATAAACAGCATGCTGAGCCTCTGGAGCAACGTAAATGAACCAATGCCTTCCCAGCCTGCCCTCAAAGCAAGCTACCACTCTGTACACACTTCCCCGAACAAGCTTGGAGCGAGGGCTGCGGTGGCCATAGAGACTTGGTTACGTGTTTGCTTGGATTGGAAGAGTAGAGCCATCCGTCTGGGAAGCAGGCTCTACACCCCGCAGTGAATTTCAGGATGAAAAGAGCAGGGCTAGTCACACAGAGCGTCGGTCTGTAAAACGCTACAGCATGGAAATGGAAATTAGGAATTCCCACATCCAAAACCTGTGCTGGAGCGAGTTTAATAACCTCTCACTTTGTCAAGCCACAGTTCCATGATCAAATATACTGGTTAGTGTGGGGAAAAAAGTAAAATAATAGAAAAAACCTTAAGCGACGTAGAAGTACAAACTTGATCTGGAAACGTCTTTGGTGCAGAGTCTTGATTACACCGAATTAGCCAGAGCACTTAACCCTGAGCACGTGCCATATTTACACCAGGTACGGAAAGACCGACGATGTCTGAACCAGCAGAAACACATAGTACCTTAGACAGACAAGCCTGGTGCAACACAAATCTTGCCAATACAAAGTGAACCCTACAAAATGTAATTACCAAGCCACCAGACTGAGTTTATTCCACACACCGTGTTATATCAGGGTGGTGGAGTCACCATCCCTGGATGTGTTTAAGAGACGGGTGGATGAGGTGCTGAGAGATATGGTTTAGTGGCGGACAGATACGGTTGGACTGGATGATCTCTAAGGTCTTTTCCAACCCAGTGATTCTATGATTCTATCTGGCACCAGCTTTTTTGACCTGTTGGGTACTAGCAGCCCCACAGCTAGGCCAACCAGGCTGTCAAACCACAGCCTCAATGTCTCACCCAAAAAATAAAGGCATGACTGTGATTTTCTGCCACAGCCAAAGCTTGCTGGCAGTATCTAATGCTCAGCTTTTACGAGTGTTGTAAATGACCAGACCAACCAGTAGATGGTAACAAACACTTCTGACAAGCCGAGCATCCGAAGGTGATGCCAAAGTTCCCAATGCCTGAAAATGAAGTACCTGCCAGCTGTGAAGAACCAAACCATCTTCCTTTGCCACCTGCTTACAGTATTGTGCTATTTATAAAACTCAACAGCAATTTTACTTGTGAAAGCTCGTTTTCTACCATCTCTTCCACAAATCAGGTATTGCCTTTCAAGGCACAGAGTGTCTAGCTTTTTTTCACAATTAAAATCTATTTGCATCACTAGTAATCTGCTCATTTCAGAAGCACGTTGTGGGGGGGAATCTGTTTCAACAGAGCCCCTATTATGCCTACCACAGAAAGCAAAGCAAGTTGAATAAGCCGATATTGAAGCTTATGATGAATAACCTAATTCTTCCAATGTTTTCCTGTAAGAATGGAAGAAACATTCTTTCACTAATGAATTACTTTAAGAACAGCTGTTGGGAAGCAGAGACTTGTATTTAAAAAGAAACAAGTGGAGCCCTCCTTCCTCTTCCTTCCCTGCAGGGTACGGTTGTCTCATACAGCCAAAACACCGCACCAGCGCTCACACACACTGCATGGGAGGTAGCCGTGGTATTTGGTGTTTGACTCCCGCACACAGCAATAGGCTCATTTATCTTGTCCACTGGCATGTTCTTCAAGCGATCGTATTAATTACTGCCAAACATTCAACACCACGTTCTTCACTTCCAAGATCAGAGTCATTCGCTTCATCTGGTTTCTCTCAAAACACTGTTCACACAAACCAGCCCCCCTCAACTACTTTGTGATTCCCTACTTGCCTTCTGTGCATGTGCAAGCAGCTTTGCTGATGACCACGTCTATCACGGTCATCAGACCAGTGCTTACTGCCTTTCAACGCACAGCTTGGCCCCTTCTGGACAAGGGCCCAAGGCACTTACAAATGGCAAGAAGAACAGAAATGCTAAGTATTATCCTCAAATAAAATGGTTAGGGCTCCACTTCCATGGCCTCTTTGCTCTGAGCAAAGTCTGAAGCACTCTAGTAGTTCCCCTCACATTAAGGACGCTGCCGTATTACATACCCAAAAGTACACATCCCTTTTTACCAGGTGGAAAGATGGAGACATTGCAGCATGTCGCTTCTTCAGCTTCATTACGCGTGGAAAACGAGATTTATCACTGGTGCGCGGGTGTGCTGCCCCACACACTGGGCACCCTCTCGCTCTGGCAGGCCTCCAGAGCTGCATGGTCATGGCTGGCAACACGGCACGGCTGCCTCGTGTGCCTGCGTCTGAGCTCTCTGCACCCCTGGGCATCTGGGGGCTGCAAGTCTTACCAGCAGTGCTACAGGGCAAAAAGAAGAGCAGCCAAAGTATAGCTGCTTCCCCCCAGCACCTTTGGAGAACAGCATTTGCCCCATTGCTCCATAAAAAGCACAGGTGAGTTACTTGTACTTCTTAAAATGGACAGGGATCAACTGAAAACTGGGTTAGTCTTGTCATCTGATCCTTCCAGTTTCAATGCTGGATACAGAACCTGTCAGTGTCCCTTCTGCCAATCCTTCAGTTAATTGTATTTGACTTTTAAGATAATTAGAAGTTAATCTTAACCCAGGAATTCTTTACTTTTCTGTGTTCCTGCCCATGTAGGACAGCCAGGCAATTCAGGGACTGACCAACAGGCCAAGTGTGGTGAGCAGCTGTTTTGATGAATCCCATGGTCAGGCTGGAGAGAAGATGGAGAAATCGCTGTTTGCTGGATTGACAGAAGCAACGTTTCTGCAAATGACACCTATAAAAGATCAGCAAAGTGTCTAGGTAGTAAACATCTGCTCTTAGGGCAGCACCTTTCAATTTTTCTTTTTTTGAAGTATAACCATATCGTACACATATTCAAAGACGGTCTGGTAAAATCTCTCCCCCCCCTTTCTTTTTCGTAAAGCACTTGTGGACTTCACAACATGGACCTTTCACCACAACCCCCCGCCCACATTTCCTCCTGTGCAGCCGCACTGACAACTGCAGGCCACTCCAGCGTTCTCCCTGCTCCCACATCCTCGCCAAGTGCCTCTTTTTCACAGCCATGCTGCAGGACAGCACTAGGGTAAAGCCCAGCTCAAAACAAACAGCACACTTTCATCCTCCTTTAGTGCCTTATCTTGCAGCGTCCTTTGACTGTCAAAAGTCAGAGGCCACTCCCCACAGTACTGATCTTTATCTTCTCTGATGAGAAAGTTCTGAAATGCTTTGCATACCTCTCGGGCTCCTGTCTTTATTTACGTACCTCTCAAGGGCAAGGAGGCATATGCCACACAGCTAGCTTGGGTACAGCTGCTTCCTGAGGCTTCGCGTTCACGAGGATTCACCGGTATCTCACAAATAATACGTGCCTCTCTGCAGAAGTAGTTATACCATCTTTTTCCACTATCCAGCTTTCTACCTTCGTGGAAGCCCTAAGTATTAAACTGCTTTGAGACTCCTAGCTCTCCGTTAGATGTGGCCGAAATTTGCCACCAGGTTCAAAAGCAACTGGGCACCCTCAAAAAAAAGGGACAGCAACAGAGACAGCGTGTTTGCACTAGCCTCATTTCGTTAGCAAGTCAGGTTAAAAAAACCCCGGATTCAGCTTATGCACTAAGCACATTACAGCCATTCCATGAAACATCGTTATTTATGAACTAAAAATTAAAAGTTAAGCCATTAATCATCCTATAATGTAGCATTTCCAGTTTGAACTCCAGGTTTTAATTAATTTATTGCTGTCGCGTGTGCACTATTCCTCTGAAGTTCGGGAGGTGAGCATGAATATGAGCATGAAATTAGAAAATGGTCCACTGATTCTAATATTCCAAGCCAGTGAGGATTAACGTGCTCGACAACAACAAAAACCAGGCAGCCGGTACTTACACCTCTAGCCTTTTGCCTTCAGTTCTTCTGAGCATGCTGCTGCCATCTTCCAGCTCCTTCTGCTCTACCTTACCATATCTATCTCCACTTATGAAACTAATCACGGTCATCTTTTGCTCTCAACGCGTTGACCCCACCCTGAATTCTGGTATTTTTATCTAGTCTGTAGCATTTTTGCTAGTTGAGGAATTGAGTGAAACCCTTACGATACTGAATTCTGCCTTTTACCATCACATTTTAAAATACTGCATTTTTCAGGTCAAACTTTGTAAGCCTCCTTGATGTCTATATAAGTTTGGCAAACCCTGCCCCTGAAGAAAGGCTAATGATGTTGCAAGTCAGAAGCGGTACAAAAAGGCATTTTGTTGACCATGTGTCACCAACAGTTTCCTCACCATTTTGCAGAATTCTAAAAACTCTGCTCACTGGAAACGCTCATGGAAAATTAAAAACTATTTTTATTCAAGTGCAGACTATTCATTCCATGAGCTGCATCACGCATATGAGGAGGACAGGCATGTACAGCAGCAGCCAGAAGCTGCAGAAAACACCTCTTCTCTTGGTACACTTTCTACCCTCCACATTTCTCCGGTGACCCAACTCAGGCTACTTCTCTTTTAAAACTAGCACAAGTGTCTTT